TGTGTGTGTGTGTGTGTGTGTGTGTGTGTGTGTGTGTGTGTGTGTGTGTGTGTGTGTGTTGTTCTGACAGCTCTTGTTTATCAACACTAAAATAGATCTTCAGCTCTGAGCTCATGACGTCATCCAGGAGGCTCCAGCTTGAAAGAAAAGCTGTTCAAACTGTTTCAGTCTGAGTGAAACTAAAGTCCTGTTTTTATTCTGGAACTGATAAATCCTCCAACAAGGAACAAACAAGCAGCTTCTGACTGAAAACAATCACGAGGCCCGCGGAGCGCCACTTTAGTAACATTTAAACATCTCCTGCTCTTTCTTAGGCACAACTCATTTTAAGCGCAAACAATCCCAACACGTTTTACACTGTTAAATGTCACACGACACACTTAAAAGAGCTACACACAACACACATGTTAGGGCCTGAGTGTTTACTGTGAGGCCAAGCAGAGCAGTCAGTTAGCATCTGTTAGCTTCAGCCCGAAACTGCTGACAACTAAACACGACCCCAGCCAGGAAGGACATGTGAAAAATGTTCACCTACCTGATCTAAATTATCATCACTGGCACTGTCCTCTGAGTCCGAGTCAATAACGACCCGACCTTTCCGCTTCTTCACGTTCACCATGATTAGCACAGCAGCTAACACGCTACACGCTAACCTGTGTCGTTAATGAGGTTTGTTGCTGGAGCTAGCTTGTTGGCTCGCCGTACAAAGGCAGGACTGAGCATGCGCGAACTGAAAAAAATATCACTTACTAAAATACTCCTTAAAATAAGCATCTTATTTTACAAACTGTATTTTCTTCTCACTAGCTGAGCACAAACTAAACAAGGAATAAAGAACAACTATTAAAGACGGTGACAGCAGAAGTAGGAACTACATGTTCACAGCACGTGGGTCCATCAGGACAGGAAAGTGTGGCGGACTGCAGCGACTGTCGCAAACACAGATTTGGTCGTAAAAACATTTTAACAGAAGTAATTAAACTGTTGTATAAAGGTAGTAATACTATTTGATCGTATTTTGTTTATAGATAAATGTTTTCTGAACCCAGCTCAGTTTCCGATGTGATAAAGATTTAGTGTGTTTACGACAGTGCTGTAAGTCGTCTGTTCATTCCAGCAGCAACCGTAAACTGCTTTACCGTGGACATTTCAGAACAGGTAATCTTATGTCATTTACTTTACTTTCTCCATGTCACATAGCAAAAGCCAGTGTTTATGCCGCGCGTGTGTGTGTGGACAGGTTTTTCCTACAACGTGGGATAATTTTACAAAAAAAAAACAGCCAGGTGGGGACCGAAGTGAACCATGTTCCAGGTGTGGGGTTAGGTTTAGGACCAAGGTTTAGGCTAGTTTTAGGGTCAGGTAAGTTTCTGTGAGGTTAATTTTAGAGTATATGGTCAGGGTTAGGATATAAAGTCTAAAAAACATGAATGGAAGTCAATGGAAGGTCCCCACGGGGTCGAGAAACAAACATGTGTGTGCAAACATGTGTGTGTGTGTGTGTGTGTGTGTGTGTGTGTGTGTGTGTGTGTGTGTGTGTGTGTGTGTGTGT